CCCGCCACCTTAGGTGTATGTGGCTGGCGCCTTAGCCGCTTGAGCCACAGGCGCCGAGCCGATTTGGGTGTTCCTTATGTTTTCCATGTCCCTCTTTAACATGCTCTTGCTTTCTTCTACCTTCTTGAACATATAGTTTGCTTACAACTATTTCAATGTTTATTTAATTATGTTATTTCTGGGTCTGTTCTGTTGATCATTTCAGCTTCTACCTTTTATTTTGGATCTATGTTAACATATTTGCTACTTTGCATGCAATTTGGTATTCCTTTAAGTGTTTTTGAGCTTTGTTTTGGGATGCAGATGTGTCAGTTGCAAACATCTTGATCCTATTGAGTCTTGCTTGAAAGTAAGCTTAAAAGCTTTGTTAGGCAGAACCAGAGTAGCTTTATTTAGTCTAGGGCTAATTTGTCCCTTTACTAAGGCAGTCATATCTTCTGAGTGTTCTTGTGATGCTCCATGTACTTTGAGCTTTCTCCACTCTGCTTGTGAGAGTGCAAACTCTTTCCATCCATGTAGGAGTTCTAGGAACTGGTTTTTTTTTTTAAGAGACAGAGTCTTACTTTGTTGCCCTTGCCCTCGGTAGAGTGCTGTGGCGTCACAGCTCACAGCAACCTCCAACTCTTGGGCTTAGGTGATTCTCTTGCCTCAGCCTTCCGAGTAGGTGGGACTACAGGTGCCTGCCATAACGCCCGGCCATTTTTTGTTGTTGTTGTTGTTGCAGTTTGGCCGGGGCCAGGTTTGAACCTGCCACCCTTGGTATATGGGGCCAGCGCCCTACCCACTGAGCCACAGGTGCTGCCCAACGCCCAGCTATTTTTTGTTGCATTTTGGCCAGGGCTGGGTTTGAACCCACCACCCTCGGTATATGGGGCTGGTGCCCTATTCACTGAGCCTCAGGTGCTGCCCCTGGGAACTGTTTGTTCCAGTGGTCCTTTTCTTGCCTTGGTAGTTTCCTCGCATGCATAAACTGAAGGGCCACTCCCTGTGGGTCTCCTGGGCTCCCTCTGTGTGGCTGTCTGAACGCTGCCTTGTCAGCTCTAACCACTTTGGTCTCCCTCAACTCTCAGAGAGACCACAATGCTCTGCTGGGTTTCCTTTTCTTGTGGCCTTGGCATTCCTGGTTTTGAACAGTGTTTGTTAGTTTCTACTATTCTGTATTTCTTGGCATGTGACTAATAGCCCTTTGTGGAATATTATAAGTTTTCATGAATATATTTTAGGCAAAATACAGGGACTAAATGTAAGTTCAGATTGAGTACTCTGTGGGAAATGAATCTACATTCATTTGGTAAATGAATGCTGGGAAATGAGTCTGTGTAAGTGACAGGTGAACAGAAACCTTGTATGTATACCTGTTGTGCTCAGGTGGACAGTAACAGCCACATTAACCATGCATCATGCTCAGAGGCCAACCTGTGTGCTTTCTTTATGCCAGATCAGGTTTAAGCACCGGAGGGCAGCCTGTTCTGCTTCATAGTCCCAGATTGTCCTATCTCTCTGCTTTTCTCTCCTTATTCTCTTCCCTACCTTGCTGAAATAAGTATCATTCTTCTTTTGGGTCTCTGTTTAGTCACTGTTCCTCAGAAAAATCCTTCCTTCCTCCCTCCCTCCCTCCTTCCCTCCCAGACTAGAATGCCATGGCTTTAGTCTAGATCATAGCACCTCAGACTCCTGGGTCTAAGAAATCCTCCTGCCTCAGCCTCCTGAGTATCTGGGACTATAGGTGCCCGTCATGATACCTAGCTAGTTTTTCTACTTTTAGTAAAAGGGGTCTCTCTTTTGCTCAGGCTAGTTTCGAACTCCTGAGCTCAAATGATTATCCCATCCTGGCCTTCCAGAGTGCTAAGATTACAGGCATGAGCTAAGCATCTGGCTTAGAAAAACCTTTCTTGACCTCTCTGACTAGATCAAATTCTTATATTTTACTCTTATGTTCTGCTCCTTTATAGCACTTTTTTTATAGTTGGAGTTTTGCATTTATTTAATTGCTTCCTTTTTAGACCCTTAGCTCCATTATGGAGCAGATTTGTCCATTTTGACTCACAGACACATTCTAGCACTTAGCCAGGTGTCTGGTACATAGCAAGTACTCAGTGAGCAACAATTATTTGTGAAAGGAATGAAAACTTGCAGCATGGTCTGTTTCAGAATGCTTCAGTGATTATAGCTCAGATATGGTAGACTCTTAGAGATGTAAAATGGCCTAATGCCTCCCACTTTGAGAAATGTCTCTGTCTCTCTCTCTCTCTTTTTTTTTTTAACAAGTTTCCTATGTCATAACTTTCTACGCTTTAAGAAAGAATACTTAGTTAAGCTCAGACATTGTGGTCAACAAACGGCTTTACAAAATTAGCAAATTGAGGGTGGTGCCTGTGGCTCAAAGGATTAGGGCACTGGCCCATATGCTGGAGGTGGCAGGTTCAAACCCAGCCCCGGCCAAAAACTCCAAAATTAACAAATTGAGACTACCACCACAATGTTGAATTTAATTTGAGAAATTGATATAAAGGATCAGTGAGGTACCTCTCAAAACATTTAGAAAATGAATTCTGTGTTGCTTGTTCCTTATATTTTTTCCTCATGATTTGTTTTCATATCTTTCTAGCACTCTGATCTACAAATTTGGAAGAACTGAAGAGCTATGGACCTGAGATCACTTCTTAAATCACGTTTTCCTTTTGTTACGTTCTATTTGTAGATAAGTTTTTATCTCAGTACTCATTGCCAAATGGAATAGATTATATATTAAATGTTTCCTTTCTTTACATTTTTATGCTCTGAGTTTTGAAATAGTTTTATGAAATTTCTGTCTCTTATTTTTCCTTGAATAGGTACTATTAATATGTACATAATACAAGACTATGTAGAGTGGATGATGAGTATCAGTTTTTTATTTCTGAGACTTAGAGCTAAATATTTTCCCTTCGTAGGTTGTATCATGTTTTTCTAGTGGTAACCACTCTTTCAGGACCTCTAATTTCTGAAGATGTGCCGAAAACAATAGCTCCATATATCTGGAATAAGCACTGAGCCATTAAAAAAAGGTATTTCAGCAAGTTGTAATTTATTTTGGCCTAAAATGAGATTTTTTTTTAAAGGAAAGTGTTTGTTCTTATGTATTAAAGAAGTGGACTTTTAAATGAAGATTTTTTTAAATGCTGAAGGATGAGTTTGAAAGCCTCTTTTAAAAAGAATTCCTCCAATGTGGCTTTTTTTTGAGATGGGACAGTACATGATCAAATAAACTCAGTTTTTTATGGTTAATGCAGAAAAACTGTAAGGCAGCTCAGCAGCATGCTTCTCATAAAAGCATCTTAAATTATCCACTGGGTTATCTTTTGACAGCCCGCCATTATCTGATGTTGCACAATACAGTAGCAAGCAAGCTTGAGATAACTGCAGTTTAAAAGCATGAACCATGTAACAAAAAGTGGAACAATAAAGATAAAGCACTCCAGAGGGAATTATTATCACCTACTGAAAAATTAGGTATTTTATCCACTTAGTTACCAACTGCAAGTCATCTTTTTGCTCTAGCTCTGAAGCTTTGGGCGAACGTTCCTGTGAAATATATCTCCAACTTCAAAGTTCATACTCCAATCAAAAACTTGTTTTGCTGAGTTTGAAATACTGTATTTGCACTGAATGTATTCCTATGGGCCTTGCTTTCCTTTGTTAGCACAGATTTTGTGTTGCACTTTTTTATCCAGAGGGATGTGTTGTATAGCCCTTTGTTCTAAGGCAGAATAATATCATTGGTAGAACAGGCGGTTCCTAATGCAAGCCTTATTTGGCACTTCTCTCCTCTCTCTGAGAGGGCTTCCTGGGCACAGAATATGAAGCAGTTGTGGAATGCTGTGCCTTTGTGTACATAACCAGCTTGTTTAATCTTATTATTCTTTGTTGTTGTTTTCCTTCCAATGTCAGTAAGCTCTGTCTTATTACCACTTTCATAATCTGTTGCAATAAATATTACTTCTCACACTTTCTAATATTGTTAAGTTTATTGGAGAAAATGAACCATAAAAATTGATTTGCTGTTCATTTTTCAGTGACTCAAGTACACTGAAAGAAGCAGTTTATTTTTATAAAATAAAGGAAAAATATACTCAGATTTGTAAAAAATATATACTCAGACTTTTATAAAATAAAGGAAATAATTTACTCAGATTTGTAAAATGCTAATGGTTAATGGAGGATTTTTCTGAAGACTGACTATAAACGGTGGCTGTTTTTTTCTGTTCTTGACTCTGCCATGAATTTTTTTTTAATTATGAACAAATCATTTAATTTCCTGTTTGTTTATTTAAAAAAAGATACAATGTTAGTATCCACTCTTAAAGATATTTGAGTTAGAAAAGCTAGAATCTTTGGTAATCATTTAAAATAACTTATGATTGAAGCCGGGCACTATGGCTCATGCCTGTAATGCTGGTACTCTGGGAGGCTGAGGCAGGTGGATTGCCTGAGTGCACAGGTTTGAGCCCAGGCTGAGCAAGAGCGAGACCCCAGCTCTAAAAATAGCTGGGCATTGTGGTGGGCGCCCCTAGTCCCAGCTATTTGGGAGGCTGAGATAAGAGAATCACTAGAGCCCAGGAGTTTGAGGTTGCTGTGAGCTGTGATGCTATGGCATTGTACCGAGGGTGATAAGTGAGACTCTGTCTCAAAAAAATAAATCAATAAAATTGGCTCGGTGCCTGTGGCTCATGTGGCTAAGGCTCCAGCCACATGCACCTGAGCTGGAGGGTTCAAATCCATCCTGGGCCTGCCAAACAACAATGATGGCTGCAACCCAAAAAAAGCTGGGCATTGTGGCAGGCACCTGTAGTCCCAGCTACTTGGGAGGCGGAGGCAGTTGGATTGCTTGAGCTGGAATCGTTGAGCCCAGGAGTTAGAGGTTGCTGTGAGCTGTGGTGCCAGCTTGAGGCTCTATAAAAAAAAAAAAAAATTGAGTGGTGCTTATGGTTTAATGGGTAGGGCGCAGGCCCCATATATTGAGGGTGGCAGGTTCAAACCTGGCCCTGGCTAAACTGCAACAACAACAGAAAAAAAATTACATATGATTGCTTTAATAAGGGTCTCCTGTCACACAGATTGAGTGGCCATTGAATCTGAGTGTCTATGTGTGGACCAATATTACCAGAGCATTCTATTTTATTACTCTATTTCTATGATCCTTGTATTCCTTGTGCTATTGCCACTGATTAAAAAACAGAGGGACCAGGTAGAGTGGCTCACACCTATAATCCTAGACTTGGGTAGGGGCGGGGAAGGGGAGGTTGAAGTGGAAGGATCACTTGAGGTCAGGAGTTTAAGACCAGCCTGAGCAAGAGCAAGAAGGCGGGCTCCTGTAGTCTCAGCTGCTTGGGAGGCTGAGGCAGGAGGATGGCTTGAGCCCAGGAGTTTGAGGTTGCTGTGAGTTATTATGATGCCATGGAACTCCAGCTCATGCCACAGAACAAGACTCTGTCTCCCCGGCCCCACAACCAATATTCAAGTTAAGCCTGTGTTATTATTTCAGAGCAATTTCTTTGCTGTATCATCCATTCAGACAAGAAAGATTAGAAATTGAAGTAGTATTATTAGAATCACTTTGTTGATTTATTTTCTCGTATTAAAACAGAAGACTCTCTTGATGAGGTTAAAGGGTTCAGTGCTTTTCTAAAGAATTACTGAAAAAAATCAGGACATGCTTATTTATCATAGAGTTATTTTTTACCTTGAAAGAATTGTGACACAATTTTTGTTTTCACAACCCATCCCCATTTTCCTGGAAGTAGTCTTTATTATATTTTCGTTGTATTAAAAAGGCACTAATTTGTATTTCTAGCCTGATGGTTTAATGTCTAAAGAGTCTTTATTTTTCTTCTCTTATGATTTTTTGACCAAGTCCAAAATATCTTGGCTATTTTGGAAGGAAACCAAAATATTTCACTCCAAAATATATTTCCTTGACATATTTCATGCTGACTATTCAGAAGGGCTGGAAATGTAAGAATAGCTGAAAAGTTGTCTTGTGGGAGAAAATTGCATCTGTAGAGAAAATTTGCATTGATGCTGTCAGGCTTTCTCTGAGGCCCTCCCTTGTCTGGATCTAGGAATGATTAACTGAGACTCTGATACCTTAAAGGTCTGAAAGAAATATTTACCATCTATTCTCTCTGAGGTCTCCTATCTCTGAGGTTTCATCTACCTAATAAGACTACCTTTGCCAGGCTTGGCGCCCATAGCTCAGTGGTTAGGGCACTGGCCACATACATGGAAGCAGGTGGGTTCGAACCTGGCTGGGGCCTGTTAAACAACAATGACAACCATAACAAAAAAATAACCAGGCCTTGTAGTCTCAGCTACTTGGGAGGCTGGGGCAAGAGAAGCACTTAAGCCCAAGAGTTTGAGGTTGCTGTAAGCTGTGATGCTACAGCACTCTACAGAGGGTGACATAATGAGACTCTGTCGCAAAAAAAAAAAAAAGACTACCTTTGCTAACCAATCCTCCTCTCCCTTCCATAACCTTTTTTGCCACCATAAACTTGTCAATGGAAAAACCAAACTGTAAATAGGGGTGTCCAGCCTACTGGCCTGTGGGCAGCATGCTGACTTTGTGAGGACGTTTTTCCTTATCTGTGGTATTGGATATATCATGAAAAGTATGCATGGATTTTTTTTTTTTTTGCTAATCAGCTTTCATTAGTGCTTGTATGTGGCCCAAGACAACTCTCACTCTTCCAATTAAAAAAAGAAGACAAAAAGGGTTGGACACCTTGCCGGTGTAAAATACTTGTGAGCCAATATGAGTAACTGTGGCCAGGGAAAACCCAGATTCACAAAGTCCTGAGAAAATCTTCTTAAGTGGTCAGATTGTAATTCTGTTTTATATGTTTTAGGGAGGCAGAAGTTACAGGCAAAGATGTAAATCAGTACATAGAGGTCGTGCATTGATTTAACCCAATAAAGTGGGTTATCTTGAAGTGGGGCCTTGCAGGTGATAGGTGAATTTAGATTCTTTATAATTGGTTGAAGGAGTAAGGCTTTATCTAAAATTTGGAGTCAGCAGAAAGGAATGTTTCAGTTTTTTCCTTTTTTTTTTGCAGTTTTTGGCCAGAGCTGGGTTTGAACCCTCCACCTCCAGCATATGGGGCCAGCGTCCTACCCCTTTGAGCCACAGGTGCCGCCCGTTTCAGTTTTTTCTTTAACAGATGATAAATACAGAAGTTTACTGATCATTATGTGATGCTATGCCAGAGTCAGGTTGCCAAGCCATATGCTGGGTCAGAGTGACCTGTTTGGCAAGATTGAGGGCTTGCAGACGTAACTCTTTCCTAGCCCCCGGGAAGGAATTTGGAGCAAAAAATAGTGGTCAGAGTTTAGTCCTCAATTTGTTTTGGCCATGCTCTGAGCCCCTTTTTTTCTGTAACCTCAATAGGTATAAAAGCATCAACCATCATCTATTTCTTTGAGATCTTATTTCATAAGACTTCTGTGCACTTTAATAAATGTGTATGCTATTTCTTGTAATAATCTGCCTTTTGTGAGATGGTTTTTCAGTGAACCTTCGGAGGATGAAGGGCAAGCTTTCCCTTTGCCCTAACATCATCAGCTTTCCAAATACAGTCAATTCTGCTTATTCTTGGTAGGTTAGTCCTATAAAGTCATAGTGAATTCTGAGTTAGTGAACACTGAACTATTTTGCCCTTGGAAGGCAGAAAGAGTTGAGAGTCTCCAGCAAACTCTGGTCACTGCCATTCTCAATTGACCAATAGATAACCTTGCTTTGTGTGTGTTTCTGTTTAATGACATACAGGGTATTTAATATAGTTGACTCATTAATACAGAGTTTACGGCAGACAGCACTATAACCCCTGCCTGAACGAAA